CGTACGAAACTTAATTACCACAGAAACATTCTCGTTTTGACGAAGCAAGCAGCGGTATCCGGTCTAGGTAGGTGATAACTTCAGTTGCTCTTGGCTCTACGCTTTATGCTATGGCGGTAGAAATTTATCTGGGCTGTAGCCTGTCTGCTCCCATTTTCAGTAACTCTCGTAAGTCTTGATGCCCAACACTCGGTAGACACTAGCTGAAATGTACAACTCAATGTGAATCCGCATTTGAGAATGACGTCATGTAAACACGACACCAAGGGAACATCACCCAATTAATTTATTTTATACATTAGGTGATCTGATCAGCCACACTGACTTCACAGTGGTATTTTAACCTCACGCGTCTTTTCTGTTTATGAGCGTTGTCCCTCAAGGAATCCGCACCTATCCCTTCAAGATATTTGTGATAACCGAAGCGCGCATTTCAATTCAACTTGCCATCTCATTACACTTGTACTGTTTGTTTTTCCAAGTTGATAGCCATGCAGATAAGCTAGTGTGGTTTAGCCGTCTGTTGCGATTGAAGTGAGAGTGACTAGTTCTAACTTATCATATTCCACTTAGAGGACAGACTGCCACGTCCTACCACCGGTTTCTATGTGTGTTCTTTAGTATGCCTGCGGCGAACGTAATCCGTCAGCTGTAAGAAAAAGCCTTGGTCAGACGAAGTGCACCGAACTAACTTCACTCTCCTGATATGTATCTAGTGGAACGGGGCTCAAGCGCGATTGCGCCACACCTGGCACAAACCAATCGGTACAGAGCAAGCCTTGGATATCACATAACGGGAACCCTTGGACGGTGTGATCCAAAACCTTGCTGATTGAAGAAGCGATTGAAATCCCGTTGTGTGACCCACTGTGGTCACAGAATCTCAACTACCCGGAGACGAGCAGGGTCTCACAAATTTAACTTCGACTTCGCTCACTTGGTTCCGTGACTCTTTGAAGTGTGCGACTCACGGCTGAACCTCTCTCCTCACATTATTTCATCTTTTCTTCCACCAAAGATTTTGCACCTGTGAATTCGTGCAACAATTTCACGTGAGTTCCTGGGACATTTAATATTGCGACGAATCAAAAGTATGGTTTGTTCGCTGCATTGTACCTATTTCAACTTCCTTCGGAATATTCAGTCAGGTGGAACTGTAACGCAATTGAAACTACCCTGTACCGCCTTATACGCGTTTATCCTTTGACCAGTTTTTTGTATGCCTCCCCTTCTCTCGCCCTAAAAAAATGCTATGCTGCAACCCATTCTTCGCTTTGGGGCCAGACGAGGTCCATCCAAGGATCCTGAAAGAATCGTCCTCCACATTGGCAACTCATCTACACCTGGTATTTCGTCAGTCGCTTGACGAAGCCGCATTCCCCCGCTTGGAAGGAAGCGATTGTCACGGCAATATACAAAACTGGTGACTGACTATCGCCTGGCAGCTATAATCCTGTAAGCCTCTTCAGCGTACCGTGGAAAGTGATGAAACGCATTCTGAAGCGAGCCATCCTAGATCACCTTACTTCCAGCAATCTGATATCTCCAGCTCAACACGGATTTCTCCCAAACCGTTCTTGCGTGACAAACATGCTCGTGTTTATGGACAGCTTAACCCAAGCCAAGGACGAAGGACTCATATCGGATGCCATATTTTTCGACTTCTCAAAAGCATTTGATAGGGTCCCACACGTCCCGCTGCTCCACAAACACGAGTCTTACGGGATTCAAGGGAAAATCCATCGCTGGATCAAGGCGTTCCTATCAGACAGATCATACCGAGTGAGAATAGGCTCTACCTTCTCCTCACCGGCGCCGGTCTCCATTGGAGTTCCTCAAGGCTCCATCCTGGGACCAGTGCTGTTTCTGATCTACGTCAACGACCTCCCAGA